CTTGTTTTTTTCAGTTATTCAATCCATAACAATGGGGGTTTAGACCACCATTGTTGCTGGAGAAAACGAGTAATTGTTACCATCACCAGGGAATACAACTACAGTAAAATGGTCTCAAAAATATTAAAAAGGGTGCTTTTGGCATTTCAAAAATCAAGTCGCATATGTCATTACACGATACAGATAATGGACAGATTATTAAAGATGGATACTAAATTGGCAATTTTTGGGAGTTCATATACTATAGTGACATGCTTTGAAGTCTAGGTACTAAAGTGAGACTAATTCTAAAGTACATGGTATTACTTAGAAATTTACCCTTGGGAAAACTAATCTAGCAAATTTGTTAATCAAACAATTGAACCTAAAAAGAGATGAGAGAAAGAGAGAGAGTGTGTGTTTATGTGTGTGAAAGAGATGAAATCTTCATTCTTTTTTAACAACCTCTTCTTTTTGTTACATTAATACATTTACGTGTACATAACTTTTAAGTTACTAGTAAATGTGCACATGTGTTTCACATGGTAATGATGATGGCGATAATATTTTTGTGTTTTTATTAGAACTCAAGTAACAAATAAAAATGATCAAAGTATGGTGTATTGGTGGATATGTTGTCTTTCAACACAAAGAGCTAACTTCAAATATTCTTATGGATCAATGTTTTCAACTTGTAGTTGAATCAAACAATTGGATTTATTAGTTTGTTACTTTTTGAGTATGTTTTAACCTAAACCACTTTGTTGAGAAAAAAAAAAAGAAAAACTATTGACTTGGTCAACAACTAAATGACCTTATTGGTTGAATTACTAACATGTTTGACCAAGTTAATGGACCATGGTTAAGACATTAATTTGATTTTTATATATTTTTAGTCATTTCTATCTTTACTAACAATAACTCTCATTTTTTTGAACATATGTTTTTGATTAATATGAAGAATATATAATATCAATGGTATATTCAAAATTTTCTATAAAAATTTTTTATATTTATATTTTTATTATTTAATTTATGACATAATAAAAGTTACTTATTTACCAAGTGGATATGCAATTCCAATATATTGTTTGATATTGGTTTTTAGTATTGTGGTCAAATCAATTGATTATTGATCCATCTCTTACTCAATTTATGATTGTAAGTCCATTTACCTCCAAACCACTTGCCTATGGTGACTTAGATAATTAAACCATTGAACCAATTGACATAGTTAGTGAAGTCATGTGTCAGACATTAATGCTCTTTGTTTTATATTAATTTTTACTCTATTGCAATCATTAATGAAAATAATTCTCATTTATCAAACTTATTTTTTTATATGATGAATATATAATATTATAGAATGTACCCAAATTTCTCTACAAATTTATACACTTATAGAGCTTTATGTATTTTATTATTTAATTATAACATCATGTGTTGACCCATTTGACATGGATAGTTGAACCACTAACCCACCACCTAATGGGAAAAACCATTTTTATTTTTCAATTTATTTTAAATATTGTATTCCATTTCTGTCATTAATAAACTTAATTCTTATTTTCATATTTATTTTTGTTTAATACAATGAATATATAACATTAGAAATGTATGAAAATGCTTTATACAAAGCTTATATTTTTCTTTGAGTTTATATATATATATATATATATATATATATATATATATATTTAATATTTATTACTTAGTTATGACATCATTGATTGACCCATTTGACCTAGAAGATTAGACTGTTGACTTGCCATATAGATTTTAAAATGGTTTCATTTTTTGATTGGTTTTAAATTTTGTATTTCATTTATATCATTCATAAAAGTAACTTTTGTTTATCACACTTATTTTTGCTTTGTTTTATGATTAATATATAATATTATATATCTTCCCAAATTTGTTCGATAGTCTTTTGTATTACTATATTTTAAAAAAATAATTTTTTAATTATACATCATGGATTGACCCATTTGACCTGAAAGGTTGAACCGATAATGAAAATGGTTTCTTTTTCCATCAATTTTAAATTGTATATTGCAAGTCCATCACCAATAAAATTATGCCTATTTTATCATACTTATCTTTTTTATCTTTTTTATATTTCTAAATTTTTATTATTTATTTATGATATCATGAAATTATCAATTTGGCCCAAATGGTTGAACTACTTATCTACCACCTAGATGAAAAAGGTTGTATCATTTCTAGGTTTACCTTAAAAATATGGGTAAATCCCTTAAACCTTTTTGGGTTTTCTGAAAAGGCCTTAAACCTCTCCTTAACTTTGACCTACCTTTAAACCTCCCCTAACTTTTGTGGATAAAGGGATTTATAGATCCCCTTAGTTACTTTGTTATTAGAAATCTAACAACTGCTAATGTTATGGATTTAGACATATTATAATGCCAATTTTTCTCTTATGTAAAGTCATCAAATGTTTGATGACTAAAATACCCTTAAACCTTTAACAAGAGAGGTTTAAGGAAGTCAAAGTTCAAGGGAGGTTTAAGGCCTTTTTAGAAAACCCAGGGGAGGTTTAAGGGATTTACCATAAAATATAAATTTTTATTCTATTAATATTATTGTTTATGGATTTATTAGTGAAATTTAATGATGAAGAATAAAAGTAACTTAAATGTTGAATTCAATGAGAGAGAGAACGAAGTTTATTTAATGCCTTAAATATGAGACTTAATGAGAGGCAAATGAATATACTTCATAGTATTATTTTAATTACATTTTCTGCCCTCTAAATGAAGATAAACCAAATTCAAGAGGGGTATTTTATTCATGAAAAATTCTAGAAATCCAATACATCATTCACACTTTTATAATAGTATAGATATAGAGATAGATAGAACAAATATACCATCTATATCTATTTACACTATAGATATTCCTTTCTCAACCCCCAACACCTCATTCATAATTTTAAATAGATGTTTTTAAAAATTTACCAAAAAATGGAATTGTTTTCCATCATGCTGGCGAGTAAGATGTTCAATCATCCGGGCATATCTCTAGTATGTATGTATGTGCTTTGTAACAAATTCTGTGATGATGATGATAGTATATAATATGTTTCTATTTTTTTTTATTTTTTTTTATTTCAATGCTACAAAAATTATTCTTATTTGTCACACTTATTATGGTTCATTAATATAAAGATATGCTCAAATGTACATTTTCTACATAATTTATATATTTTTGTATATTTGTGTGCTTTTATCTTTTTAAAATTTTATTATTTAATTTTAACTTCATGAATTGACAGATTTGACCTTAAATGTTGAATCGATCCACCATGAAATAAGAAACAATTTCACTTTTGGGTTAGTTTTGAAATTTATATTTTTTATATCATCAATAAAAAGTTAAAAACAATTATTGTTTATCATGTCTAATTTTTAATATGATTAATGTAAATATTAGAGATATGTCTAAATGTTTTCTATAGAATTTATACTTTTTTTCATATTTTTTGTATTTTATATTTTAATTAATTTTTGTTATTTCTTTCTAATATCAATAAGAATAATTTATATTTCTTTCTAATATCAATAAGAATAATTATTATTCATCACACTTATTTTTCTTTAATATGATTATATATACAAGACATTATATATGTGCCCAATTTTTTATATTTGTTATTTATTTATTTTAAGTGTATTTATTTAATTATGACATCATGGATTAGCCCACTTAACTCAGATGGTTGAATTGCTTACTTGCCACTATGATTGAAAAATAGTTCCATTTTTGGGTAAATTTTAAAAAACATGTATTTTATATTGTTAAAAATATTGGATATAGATCTAAATGATAGAATTTATTTATTTTTATTTTGTGAAAATAATATCTTAAATATAAGATTCAGTAAAAGAATGAGAGTAAATACCCTAAGATAAGACTTATTAATGAGAGGGAATTGGATGAGGAGAAATATAGTAGTTCAAATTACATTTTATGCCCTCACAATTAAAGGTGGCCAAATTCAAAAATAGGGGTATTCTAGTCAAGAAAAAGGATTCAATGAATATTAATGGGAGTTACTACTTTAAATAAGAGACTTAACAAGAGGGATTTGAATGAGGAGAAAAGTGGTTTTTCAATTTACATTTCCATCCTTAAAATTAGACAAAGACCAAATTCAAAAATTAGGGTAATTTAGTCAAACAAAAGTTCCACACCATTATTAACACTTTAATAATAGTATAGTATAAATAAACATTAAATGAAAAATGTAAAATAACATTATTGCTATAGCTTGTTTTACAATTATTGAACAAAAGATGTACTCTTGTATTTTTTTTTATCAAATAAACATTACTAAATGAAGATGTAAAATAACAATTTTGCCTTTGTTTGTTATTCAATTCAAATTATAGAGAATGGGCATTTATTGTTCAATGAAAATTCCATAAGCCAGGGACACCTATCAGGGCTTTTATAGACAGTATAGATAGATAGATATAGATATGCCCTAATATTCTGATCTGAGGGTCTGGATTTTACTATTACATTAACGATCTGCCCCTTCAACCTGGATGGTTGAACTCGTGATCCATCACCCAGAAAGAAAAGCAGGTCAGGGCCCACCAAAATCTAGCCAGTTGTACTCATTATTTATTATCTAGGCTATCAGATTCAACAAATTCCATCTTTTCTCTAACAAGATTTGTCATTTTCCATTATATAGACTGCATGCTTCATGCTAGTCTCTTGAAGTATCTTGAGTCTTCGACCAGTAAAGGAAGAAGATAACAGTAATAGAGGAATAAAAGATGTGAAGATCACAGAAATGCAGGAGGAAAACGAGGGAAAAGCTAAAGAAAAGTAATAGTTCATGGGTTTCATACAGTCTTAAACGTTTTCGAAAAGATTCTCTTCTTTCATTACATCTGTTTTTACTCCCACCACATTTATATATATATAGTCAACGTTTCATTTTCTCATACATAATCGAAGCAAACCCATCTCTGATCAGTAGCAGTGCAAACATGGGAAAGTTGAGCTCCAGAATGGTCATGGTTGTTGGTGGATGGTTATGGTTTACCACCATTTCCATGCTCCTCCATGGTTCAACTGGGCAACCTGCACAGATTCCGGCGATGTTTGTGTTTGGTGACTCATTGGTTGATGATGGAAACAATAACTATCTCAGATCCATAGCCAAAGCAAATTACATTCCTTATGGAATTGATTTCAACCAGGGGCCTACTGGGAGATTCTCTAATGGAAGAACTGTTATAGATATGCTTGGTAACTCTTCAACTTAATATCATAAGATGATGATTTTACTGGTTCATTTTCTTGTTTTCCATTTATGATTTTTGTCAATATTATGTTTGTTCTCTTCTCGCTTTCTCCTCTTATCTCAAAGAAAGAAGGTGACAATCCAATGGATTTTCTATTATTTTTCCTTAAGGGTCCGTTTGTTTTTTTCTCATCAGGAATAAACAATTTTGTAATTGGAATAGTAAGATTGGTCCATTCAGCTGATTCCAACTGTTTTTCATTTCTAGTGGAATGGCATTCCCCCAGCCCATTCCCTCCACCCTCCCCCGCCCTTGGGAATGAAAATCTATTCCTATTCCCATTCCAATTGCAAACTAAATTGACCCTAAATTTATTTATTAAAATTTGCATTTGCATTTGGGTTTTCTCTTTCTAATATGGAGTGATGATTTGATTTTATCAGATGGAAATAATAAGAATGGTCCATTTTGATTCCAACTGTTTTTCATTCCTGGTGGAATGACATTCCCTCCACCCATTCCCTTCACCCTCTCTCACCCATAGGAATGAAAATCTATTCCTATTTCAATTCCAACTGCAAACTAAGTAAACCCTAAATTTATTTATTGAAATTTGCATTTGCATTTAGGGTTTCCTTTCCTAATATCGAGTGATGATTTGATTTTATCAGAATTTTAGAAACCAAATGGATGTTTCTTTGGCTTAAAGCTAGAATATGTCCATATGGTAACATGATATAAAATGATAACCGAAGCATTTATGGTGTAATAATTAAAGTTTTCCACTTGTTTCTAACTTTCTTTATTCCTTTTCTTTTGTACGTTAAGAAACTAATATCTAGCTAATCTGAGTTTGCAGGAGAAATGTTGGGCCTCCCTTATCCTCCAGCCTTTGCAGACCCTAACACAGCTGGACCAAGAATGCTTCGTGGCGTGAATTATGCTTCAGCTGCCGCAGGCATTCTTGATGAAACAGGAAGACATTATGTACTAATTTTCTCCCTTCCCACTCCCATTAATTATCCAAGCAACAAATTTGATTTTTTTTTTTTTTTAGAAAGATAGCAAGCATTTAACTGAATATTCAACTTATTGGTAGAGACATGGTGGGGTCCATATAACTTCTTTTCATTTAGTTTTAACTTTTGACATATATCTTCATGGCCCCATGTTGTCTGTAGTGAGCTGCATGGTCTGTTGATTTGAGTGGGGCTTGGATGAAGTAATTGCTTTGTCCGGCTTCTGCAATAGGGGTGCAATTTTGACTGATTGGCTTGGGTTGGGTTGTACTCATAGCCGCTAGGGGTGCAAGTCGAGCGGGTTGGGCCGGGTTTATGGTCAATCTATGCCCGGTTCTAAAATTTGGGTTTAAGGCTTGAATCCAGACTGAGCCCGAGGTCAAGCTCGGTTTTCCTAATTTGATACTAGCCTGTACTGTAATTTGATGCATTTGGGTTGGGCTAAACCCACTCTAAAATTATATAATATAAATATATTTATGCAAATATATATACATATATTTATGTATATATGTAAATATATATACAAATGTTACGTATGCAAATACGTATGTATATATATATATATATATATATATATATATATATTTGTATGCAACATTTACATCTATACACATATGTATGTATAAATGTATATAGTTGGACCAGGTTCGGGCCGGATTTAGGCTACCTAAAGGCTAAACCCAAGCCCGACCTGAAAAATTAAAAAGCCCAACTTCTTGGGCCCGAACCCAGCCCGAGGACCAAAAATCCAAGCGCATCCCTTTCAAAATTCAGGGCTGTGCCCGCCCAAGTTGCACCCCTAATAGCTGCTGTGCTAAAATCTCAACCCTAATCTTAATCAAACTTGATCTTCCACCGGTTTAGAATGTATCGATTGTGTATTTTCTTTATACCAGACGTAAATGTTCTATCAAACCGTATTAGAAACCCCTTATTTAATACCCTAAATCCATTTCAATGAATTTATAGGAAATAATCAATTGTAATAAAAGTTAATATTTTTATTTTTTTACTGTTTTTTTCAAGTGCTAATGAGATTTATAGGAAATTAGAAAGAGATATATAGGAATTAATTTATCAATAAAATTAGTTTATATAGAAGAGATTTATATTGCTAATTGAATTCACTAGGTAGAAATTAATGCATATTTTAATTATTCTACCATTTCCCAACCTTCCCTGAGTATATCCTTAGTAATTCACACTTCAGGCTTCACATAAACTATTAAAAATATGTGTTTCTATGTGGTTATACACTATTTAATAATTTAAGCCTTAGATTTAGTTTTATTGATGAATTTATTGGCTTTCTTTGTAAGTTGTCCTAATGTATATTCAAAGTGAATGAATCCCAATAATTCTCTTATATTTAATTAAACTTCTTTTTTCAATACTTCACCTATCAAAAAAACAGAAAACCCTTTTCCAATAATCTTTGCAATACCGATACTTTAACCTTGACTCTCCACCTCTCACATAAAATCCGTGTACATATATATACATTAATAAATGCATCATATAAGTATGATACATCAGGTTTTTGTTAGGCTGGCCGATTGGCCAAGGCGTCAACATTAACCCAATCCCATGGTAGATTAGGATGCATATGGGTTGAGTTCAGGTTGGTGCTACTCAAATTGTAGCTAGCCCTATTATCTATTTATTCTAAGGCTCCCTTCGCTGTTTGGTAAGTTATTTATCTGGGTAAATGTAATTATCTAATTTAGTTTTTTTTGGAAATATTTATCTAGGTAAGTGCATTTATTCATGCTATTTTATTTCTCAGGTAAACAATGTAATGACCATTTTAGTCATAAAAACCCATTATTAAATGGAAAATTGTTGTCTCATTCAAGTGTTAGCAATTTTCTTACTAGATAGGAAAGTTATTTATCCACCCAAGAGATAGGTATCTAGGAAAATAAACTTTTCCTAGTCCCCACATTAATTTGAAAAATGAACGTGAGATTCTTAGTCAATGGGAACCAAAATTCCATTGACCAACTTTCCCCCCTCTCAAAAACCAAAAAAAGAAGCCCCCCCCCCAAAGGTCAAACACTTCTCTAGTTTGAATATAGCTTGAGGTGCTAAATCAAGGCACCAAGCCTGTTACCTAGCTAAACCTAGGTGGTCAAGATATGGTTAAGGTTTGTAGCTTGATCCTCTAAAGGCCCTGACCATATTATTTAATTGTACCAGCTTGTTATGCCCTAGTTTTTCTGTCCGTTGAGTTGAATCTAGATCCATATATATCTGTTTATGTCACTTCTTTGATATATATACTTCGCCATGAAAGCTAATACAACTCTTGTACACACAAAAAAACATAATAATAATAACATTGATGGATAGGGAGAACGCTTTACCTTAAGCCAGCAAGTGCTCAATTTTGAGACCACCTTGAACCAGCTGAGGCAATACACGGGTGGGAGCAACTTGACTCAGTATCTCTCCAAGTCTTTAGCTGTGTTGGTGTTCGGCAGCAATGACTACATCAATAACTACCTCTTGCCTTCCCTCTACTCCTCCAGCTACAATTACGATCCCCCAGCCTTTGCCAACCTTCTTCTCAACCATTACACCAGGCAAATTCTGGTATTCTCTTTCTCTCTCTCTGTATGTCCTGTTTTATTTTGGAGCTCTGAAAGATAGATTAACCAAGTTCTCCTGTTTCATGTTGAAGGCACTGTACAATCTAGGGCTGAGGAAGTTTCTGATATCAGGGGTAGGTCCACTGGGTTGCATTCCAAACCAAATAGCAACCGGTCAGGCACCACCAGGAAGATGTGTGGACAAAGTAAATCAGATGCTTGGAACTTTCAATCAAGGCCTCAAGACAATTGTCGACCAGCTGAATGCAAACCATCGTGGGGCTATCTTTGTGTATGCAAACACTTATGGAGCAATGGGCGATATTCTCAATAACCCTGCAAGATATGGTAAGATACAATTACTTGAAGCTTAGCATTTTTTTTTCTTTTATTCTTCCAAATTAATCTGTCTTTGTAAGTGCATGATTCGATCACTTTTTCTTCAGCTTTCACCTTGTCTTGTTTGTTTGTGAAAGAGTAAAATACCTAGTGTGGACTCATCTTATATGTAAGGAGATGGGGAGGTAGGAGAGTTGTTTGTTTGGGAGTGAGGTGGGAAGAAAGATAATGTGAACCCCACTATATATGAGATGCAAAATTTACACCAATGTTTTAAAAAACGACCCAGAATCGTTTTGGCCACTGGTTTCTGAGTCGATGGTTCAATCACCCGATTTTAACGGTCAAAACTGTTGAACAGTTCAAATGGGTCGACAGTATTGACCGCCCAGGTCAATGGGTCGTTGACCAATTCAACAGTTTTTAGCCAATGGTTGAGTTTGAGGTAAAATGCAACCAGTTGTCTGAACGATCCAACCGTCCGGATCAATAACAGTTCGAAAACATTGATTTACCTATATTTTCTCTTTTTACTTGTGGTTTATGAGATTAATTACAGAGGTGCAATTCTCATCCAATACATATTGTGTTGTTTGTATGGGCTACAGGGTTCAGTGTTCTTAATCAGGGATGCTGCGGTCTTGGGAGGAACCAAGGACAGATAACTTGCCTTCCCTACTCCATTCCTTGTCAAAACAGGAACCGATATGTCTTTTGGGATGCCTTCCATCCTACACAAGCTGTGAATGCAATCCTTGCTCAGAAAGCTTTCTCTGGCTCTCCTGATGATGTCTACCCAATCAATGTGCAGCAAATGACCTACTTATAGACACTAGCTCTATTTACCTGCTTTGTTTGCACTTATTTATTTACATATATAAAAGATGTTTTCTACATCTACAAGCGTAATAATTACTATGTAATCCCAACTATATATGCAAAGTATGGGTTGTTGATGATGAAAACAGATTTTCTTTCTACTACGTACTGATGATCAAGTAAATTAAAATGCATCAAGTTATGTACTAAGTAGGTGAACCAAAATTAGATTGCACCAACCCAATTGGGTAGCTAATAATCCTGGTTGGTAAACAACAAAAGAAATCTTTGAGAACAACCCCAAAAGAGAGATGAGTGAAATCAAGCCAGTAAGACGCGCGTTCTTTATGTCTTCGATCCAATTCCAGACCTCTGTCGATCCAAAACACTAGGTGTAGGACAATTCAGTAGTCTGATGAAGCAAATATGCTAAGAATGGGATTTAATTTCATCTCTACATGAGATAATAGAGTAGCGCATGGTTTTCAAAACCGGACCAGACCGGACCGGACGGTTGGACTGAAAAAACTGGGAACCGGTCCGTTTTTCCAGAAAACCGGATTTTTCCCAAACACCGTTGATTTTAGTCAGCGAACTGTTGACCCAGGTGATTCGTTCGAATGGTTTTGACTGTTTTTTATTTTTTTGTCAAAATGGGTCAACCGTTCAACGTGGGAACCGGACCCTTGACTGGTTTGTTCTCCGAGTCAATTTTAAAAACCTTGGACTAGCATTCTTTTATCCCTTTCTTGACAAAATGATGTTGATAACCAATCAAGATGAGACATGCGTTTCATTAGGCAATTCTGCTCAACCATGCATATGACGAGTCCTTTGCTCCCAAATTGATAAGCCAACTCTGTTATATTATTCTCACTGAATGAAGGGAAAATCTATGATGCAGAAAAGGTATGGTATGAAAATAGTTTTGACCAATCAAAACCCACCCATGAATTTTAATAAGTAATACCATGTTCCCTTACCATTCTGGTTTATTGGTCAGTTGTTTTTTGGATATCATATCTTTTCCCTATCATAGTTGAACCCATGAATATCATATCTTTTCCATATCATAGTTGAACCCTTGAATGGAGTAAGCAGCTCTGTAAATCTCTTTATCATAATTAATAGAGGAAATTACAAATAGGTACCTTGTGTTTTGGGTATAGTTATATTTAAGGGCTTGAGCTTTCAAGTGGGACATTTCAATAGCAGTTGACTACTAGAGAACTTATAGCAGTTGACTACTAGAGGAAAAAGAATACCTCTTGTGAGTAGTTGTCAGCTACAAGAAGATATCAGTTGACTACTAACTCCTGACAAGGTTGAAGTAGTCAACTACTAGTTCAAGTTAGTTAGCTACTTCCCAAAAAATGAGGAAGTTTTTGTCTATTTGAATGAACGACTATTTTCTCTTCTGGTAAGCCTTCAATCTTATTGAAAACAAATTATCTATACATTTCTTAGAAAAGATTAATCTCTTCCTAATGGATCTATAATGGTCATATGCTCTTTAAGCATTTCTCTTGCTATAAGTATCTATGATTGAGATGAAAATCTCAACAAAGTGTATTTGTGCTCAAGAGTAATAAGTTCATAGAGAGCAATAGCAAGAGAGCATTTAGAGAGAAGATATTCATGGATAAAAAGAGTTTTTGTACTTGGAGAAAAGCTTACAAAAATTATTACGCTTCATTGATTGTCTCCAAGAGTCTTTTAATTTCTTCCTAAGCTATGGCCTATTATTATTTGTGCATTCTCGTGCATTTTAATAGTTTGTGCTATATTTATAGATCTACCATTTTAGAGGTGTTGACTCTATGTGCTTTGATGATAACAAATTCATTGAGAGTGCTAATGTAATGGAAAGTTAAGTTTGAAATTGTATCAGATACTTCCTCAGATTGAGCTTAAAAGACTTGATAACAACTTTATTGTGATCATTGATGATCTAAGGCAAAGAGGACTAGCTATATCAAGTTATGGATGGAAAACTCTCCAAAAAAGAAGAAAGCTACCAAGAATAAGAAAAAGAAGACATCAAGGTCCAGAGCCTTTACTTGTTTTTTAATTCTTTAGGACTTGATCTAAATATGTAATGAGTTGCAAGATACACTACATGGATCTAACTCAGGTCTACCTCGGCTATACCAAAACTTACAAACCAATAGTTAATCTAGAAAAGGTTATTAGGCTCTTCGTAGATTCAAATTTGGACTTAATTCTAAAATTTCTAAGTTTGGAAATCTAAGGAATTGATTCCCAAGCTCTAAGAGTCGACTGGTTAAGTTTTCTAAGGTTGGATGTTGTCATTAATTGACTACCCAAGAAGTAGGGCTGTTTAGAGAATGTCAAAAATCGACCAAACCAGCCTGACTCGACTCGATGTAGTTGGCTTTAACTTAACTTGATCAGTTTTGGTTTATAAATATGTATAGCTCAACTGGTCGGACCAGTTGTGGGTTATGAGTTTGTAAACCAAAGTTAAATTGACCCAAACCAACCATATGTAATATGCTAATGAAATCATCTCTCATGTCTCATTTCCCTTTTTCCAAAATACAACCAAAACAAATAAAAGGATAAAAATCATTTTATAACTTAATGAGGAAAAAACATGAAAGAAAGGGAGTTTATTTGGTGACTTATTCGGATTTGTGAATGTTTGCAAGTGTGAAACCTTAGGCCTAGCCCTTAGGCGTGCTATGTTGTGCAGGTCTAAATTCTGTAAGTTGACGCTATATCTAATTTGTATTTCCTTATTACTTTTCCTGGTATTATTGTGTTTTGAACAGTAATTCAGTAAGTGGTAAGTTCATCTGTGTCTAAGTAAATCACTTTTTTTTTACTCTTAGAATACATTTATTAAATCAATAATTTCATGCTTGTACTATTTTTTTATAAAACTAGGAATTACCATTCATTCAAAAAGTTCCTATACAAAGAGTTTAGAAAAGGGGGAGGATTATCAAAATGTGCCACCTCGTCATCCCCAATTTGGTCCCTTTTAGCAGTTTCATGAGCCAACAAGTTCTTACCCCTAGGGATATAAACAAAAGATACTTCCAAGTTAGCAATGAAAAACAAAATGTGGTCCGCCACATGCCACAACTCACGACCAATATTTACAGACCCGAATTTTAACAAGTTCATAGCTGAAATATTATCAAAAAATATAGAAAATTTTGAGAAGTGTCTATCAACAGAAAAGGTAACAACTGCTTCAATTGCACAGAGCTCCATCTAAAGTACCAAAGTCATCATTTGATTCTTCTTCCCTATTTCTGCCACAAAAGAAGAAAATGAAATTTTCCCTTTGGGAAGCAAATCCCTAAGAGGGGTGTAAAGAGTTTAGTGTTGTCAAATACCCTGTGCCTTTTCTATGGTAAGGTAGAAGATTTGCAACTTCACCACTTTTTGAATTTGGAAAAAAATGCTTTATTTCAATTCCAGGATTTGTTTCTAAAAATAAGATCATTCCTAAACCACCATATGTGATAGGCAATAATAGAAAACCATATTAAGAAATCTAATTGGTTCTTTCTATTTCCAAGCATGGTTAGGACCAAAGAGATAGGATTCCAAACTGAGTTTGCCACCGGATTAGTTGCATGTGCCATTGTTGAAGCAAACCAAATTGCTCTAACGAAAGGAAACTAAAAGAAGAGATGGAGAGTATACTCATTCTCAGTCTTACAAAAACAATAAACAGAAGAGCAAACAAAGCCTTTGAGAATTAGGTCCTCCAAAGTAATAACATAACCTCTCAAAAGCTGCTAGAGGAACAATCTATATCTAGGGAGCATAAGGAGACAACAAACTCTTCAAATTAAAGAAATGAGGTCTAGATTCAACTCAGGAGTACGCCCAGTAACCAAATGTTGATCCTTAATGGATGTCCTAAAAATATGAGTCTGAGTAATTAAGTTCTTCCAATCTTCATTAAAATGGTGACCCAAGATGGCTACATCCTATGACCCTCCTCCATCCATAATATCAGCAAAAGAAAGACCAACTTGTTCTTTAGTAGGGGGTCCTAGTGGAGCTACAAAGCCTTCAAAACTATTGACTCAAGGGGTGCCCCATAGGGTCACTTCCCCTATGGGCCTCACTTTACATCCTAAGAAGGGGAAAATCTCTACTAGGGCCTTAGATTTCTCCAAAAGAAAGAAGTTTTTTTTTTTTTAATTTTCTAAGGGAAGAGATCCTTGTTTTCTAGATACATGCTCTTGAGAAGCTTGACCCGCAAAGAATCCATTTTATTAAGAAAAAACTAGGCCGCCTTCCATGGGAAGGATTTATTGACATCCTTGGTTTTCCTCAGCCCCAACCCACCTAAATCTTTTGGAGAACAAATTACATCCCAATTTGTCCAGTGGTAGGACATAGAGTCCTTTCTATGGTACCACCAAAAATCCCTTTGAATTCTGTGAATTTTGTCATTAAAATTGCCCAAGAGTTTAAAGACTGACGTGACATGGTTAGGAACAACTTGCAAGACATATTTTGTAAAGACCAATTAATTTTCTTGCCTGAGATAGAGTATCTGCCTTCAAATTATTAAGCTTAGAAGCCAATTAATCAAGGATGAAGTCAATTGAGTTAGACTTATTCCTTTTCCAAATTAAGGGTATTCCTAAGTATTTAGAATGACAATGCAAACCCCCCATCTTAAGTTGCCTTTTAATCAGTTTTGCATCTTTATGGCTAACACTTCTACTAAAAAGGACACCTGATTTCCCATAGTTTATGGTTTAGCTGAACATTTGTTAAAATTTTTTTAAGGTATCCAAAAGATTTGTAGTTATATCTCTTTAAGCTCTAACAACAATGAAAACATCATCAACAAAAAATAAATGAGATATCTAGGGGCTTCTTTACAAATTTTAATTCCCTTTATTAGGTCCTGCTTTTTAGCCTTTACAAGGAGTCTAGAGAGACCTTCCATGGCAAGAATAAAGAGATAAGGGGAAAGAGGATCCCCTTGCATAAGACCTCTAGAGGGAATAA